TTAAAGATCGCTTGGGAAGCCTACAGTTTTAAGCAACAGTTGCACTAAAAATTTCATAGACTACAGGGGATCGAATTTTTTTAATAGAACTTACTTATCTTTTTTTCAATGAAATAAAAACATTGAACATTATTGTAGCTATGATTTAAGGAACTGTTATGAAACTTACCATCTGTTTTATTACCATTACAGCCTATCAAAATCTACTGCTGAAAACTGGCCTCCCAGATAGTGCGTCATAGGGGGAATTTTGCCATAATTGTATCTTTTCGCGGGTTTTTATAATTTTGAGTTCACATTACGGAGATGCTGTTGCCTATTTCCTATATTAATTTCCCTTTCTCGTTTTATACGACACCTACGGGAAGATATGGGGCAGCTATTATCGATGTATCTAAAAACCCTGAAATTTATTTGTACCGCATTTGGTCCCTTTTCAAATTTATGTTGTTGTGGGATACTATTCAACTCAATTATTTTAATAAATATATGAATATAAAGAAATATATGACCTACACTCTTCTTTCCATTTTAAAATTAATATTTATTGTGTATAGTTTTCATATTTTTCTTAAGATTTAACTGACGGTAGGAATTACTACGTATATAAAATCTAGCGGCCCGCCTCGACTTTGCTAGCAACTCGACCGGCGAAGGACCACGCTCTCACAAAATACCAGCGTAAAATAGCAGCCTAACGCTACTGTATTTCCTATGGTAAATGTAGAGAACCGGAGATACTATTTACTGAAAACGAGGTATTTACGCATCTGAATTTCGATTCCTAATCGAGGACAGATGAAGATGTCTATGAGCAATAGGAACCACTTACTATCAGGTATTCACTTGTGTGCTCGATTGTTACCATTGCAATGTTGCAGCTCTAATATGGTTGTAGTACAAGTGGGTCGGGGCGATCGCGGAGGAACTACTCTGTTACAGCATACCAGCGTAAAATAACAGCTTAATGGTGAGTGTCGAGAACTGGAGAGCCATTTACTTATTACGAGGCATGACATCTTAGTTCTCAAGGATGATAATGTATCTGCATTTTGATTCATGATCGAGGGCATATGTAGATGCTTATGTGATGCATCCACTTACTATCAGGTGGGTAATGTGGTTAAACTACATGGGACACCGCATATTTCGTTTCGTTTTTGCTGAGATTTTAAGACAAATTGATTTTCCACATTTCTTGAACTGTCGCGTAGTATTTTTATATACTTACATTAAAACAGTAACATGTAATTATCCTTCGAAGATACACAACTTGCTGCCGTGGACACTTATATTAGCGGATATCGACGCAGCGCACGCCAAGCTCTCATAAGGCACGACTTTTCCGACTTAGTTGATGAATATCGTCATAAATTTTAGCTTTAATATTTATTTCTTTATTTATTATAATTATAATTTTCGATACATTTGTATGCTACCATTATGAATTTTGTCTGACTGCATGTAAATCAATAGGTGGATCGGGATCGTGCCTTGTCATCCTGCAGTGGACTTGTGAAGGGTTTTAATTATGATGATGATAGCACACTTGGCGATGGTGCATTCTGCAAACAATATTATATAATTATATATAATATACAGCATATATCTATAGAGAATGACGTACTGTTCAAATGATGAAAGGATATTTGAAACATGAGCAATAGTTGAGGATTTCCCACACCATATACACACTCACGAATTTCGCAGTATCTCTTTGTAATATTAGTATAGATATAAACAACACAAATCCAAAAAATCCATTTTCTAAGTAGGTGCTGTGTGATAAATTAAATAATTCATAATAATTACATAATTTTTCTTCTCGCACCACTGACTTCTGATTTTATTGCCGCTGTAAGACCCACATTACGGAATGTTGGTCCTGAAAATTATTGCCGGGTAAAATAGCTTGACTTTGACATTTAAAATATATGAAAGAATTTTCTTAATGGGTATACTTTATAGTTATTATTACAAGACCTACGTTTATAAACTATAGTCATTCTTCTTACTTTCCAGACATAGTTCCAAACGATTACCGTTTACCACTATATGGACAATTTCCTGTTTGTTCCATATTTATTTTTTCGCAATAAAAGGTACAGAATTTCTTCATAGACTTTTTAGAGACAAGATCCCTAATTATAATTCTATTGCAAAGATATAAATAATCTTTCCTGGAAATGGCAGATGTGTGTAAATAACGGGTAAATGCTTCGATTAAATAAATAATTTAATTAGTTATTTTTCCATAGTGCTGAGGTCCTCCAGTAATACTGCCATAAGAACTATACTATCGGAAAATCAAAGGTATAATCGCCATTGATGGGGTTAATGTAACCTTTTCAGTCTAGTAACTTGAAAACATCTTCCAATGCAGAGGTGAAGAGTTTCGTTTACGTCACCCTGTCTAACACCTCCCGGAAGAAAGGTTCTCGAATGGCAGCCTCCTATCGGTATGCGAAATGTAGAGTGATCCCCTTTTAGATGGAGTGATAACCCGGTAATATATGCAGGAAGTAATGATGCAGGTAGTTCAGGACCGGGCTTTGTGGTATTTCTTTAGGGAGGCCTTTGTCTAGCAGTGGACCTGTGAAGGGCTGCAATAATAGTAATGTTTTTTTTTTCTTCTTAGATAAAGTTATTTAAATGATATTATTATGATATATCCAAAATTTCATAACATAATCGCTGAAATTATATTATCCCTTTTCATAAAACTTTTGTTTAACAACTTTTTTTTGAACTGGGCGCTAGACTTTTTCAAAATAAGTAATATTATATCATTTAAATCAGAGTGCCAAAGCAATCTAACTGAAGTTCTGCTAAGGAATAAGATGGGGGCCTGTAAAATGGGTCTCCGATTTTTGTGATTCATAGACGAAATACAGCAGTATTATACTGCTATTTAACGCTGGTATTCTGTGCTAACGTGCTCTTTTGCCAACTAGGCTGACTTACTAGAACGATCTTCTTCTTTTTTTATCTGCAAGTATATGTTTATTACTGCTGGACATGGGGGTCCGCCTTTGAAGAAACGATTTGCCTCAATCGACGCGTGATAGGTTAATTGACAATCTGACTGACTGCTGTTGTTCTTTCATTGACAACGCATCTACATTTTATTTCATTATCGAAAATAGATGTAGATATCTATGTGCCACAGTATCCGCTCACCATCAGGACTGTGTGCGCGTCAGTTATCCTTATTCTATTAAAGAAATCGCTATACCAGACGTTTAACATTGATGCTGCTTCACTACGCCACTCTGGGTGTTTTACGCCTTACAACGCCATCTATGGGAAACCATAAAATATTTTTGGCAAATCCCGTAGTCACCTCTTACGACACCTACGGGACAAAATAGGGTGACAGATTCCTTTACGTCACAGTTAGCAGGGCAACACACAGTCCACCTGATGGTAAGTGGATGCTGTGGTCCCTCGATATCTACATTTATTATCGATTAAGAATCGAAATGCAGATGTGTTACCACCACTGAGGACTGAGATGGAATGCCTCGTATGCAGCAAAAAGGGTCTCCGGTTCTCTACATTTACCATACGAAACACAGCAGATTATGCTGCTATTTTGCACTGGTTTTCTGTGAGGGCGTAGTCCTACCCCGGTCCAACTAATTCATTCGGGTACAATTGAATTAAATTTAACAAAATATTTTTAAGCCTAATTTAAGTCAGGGCTTGACCACAATCCCAACTAGTTTTAGTTGGTTATAAAGACCTGTAAAATCGGTAAATCGCACTGTCTTGTCACTGTGTAGACTATTCACCCTTTCCTTGAAGACGGAAGTAAGACAGACGTCGGCAAATTATTCCACTCTTTGTACGCATTACGAATAACGAAGCAATCCTTTTGGTTCTAATGCTTGAAATATCGTCAACAGATGGGTGAAGACCCGTCATCGCAGTTTATCAAATAACGGAAAAAAGAGGGAGGAATTAAAACATTAAATTCCTGTGCACACTCTTTGAAATGCATTATATTGAATATTATCTACCAGAGAGACAGATGGTAAGGAAGGTTCACCGTAATCGCCACGTTTAACTTTACCCTTAATGCTGCCTCCCATCTCCGATCTTGGAATTTCTAGTTTATACACAAGAGGATTATAATGCTTTTGATTTTATGATATGCACGATACGAGAAATGGTGCTAATAACTTTTCTCGTGAGGCCATTATACGACAAATAGTATATGTATGTATAACATTGCAAGTAAAAGTTTAACACTTGAGAGTCTAAATAATCTAAAGTAGTTATAAAATGTTTGAGTACTTTTGTAATTTTTTTAGGTTTTATATGTATATGTTGAATATATATATATATATATATATATATATATATATATATATATATATATATATATATATATATATATAGAACATGACGTAATCTAGTTAATTACAAACTTGTTAGCACTCGGAGTGTAACCTTCACAATCTCGTCCTACGAGTACAATCAATTGAAATGGGTTTCATGGATCGTTGGAAAAGACTGCCGAATACAGCTGCGCCAGACCCAATTTTGATTTGTAATTAAAAGCCTCTTTATTCTTAAATTTCATCGTTAATTAAATGTTTATGTAAGAATATAATTTTCATGGCGTGAAAAACATCAATCAAACCACTTTATTTACTGGCTACGTTTTGTTAATTTTTACTTCAATAGCGATAACGATATGATTCTGTTAGTTACGTACCTTTCGTACATAAAATACATACATAAATCCCAAAACGTACCTATTTATTTTAGTTAACATAAAATGTCCATCAGTTTTATAAAAGTTATTAATATTTTATATATATCACTTCAATCACCAAAATAGTGAAACTAATTTGAATATGGTTTTCGGTGATATGTAACTATTTGAGCTTCGGATAACATGTTCTTTTAATTATAATGGGTTTATTATTTAGTCCATTTTAAAGAGCGACTAGCGCGTGTACAAAAAATTTTTAGGTTTCTTGGAAGATACGATGGTAAGTGTAGTCACTTACCATCGTATCTTTTCTGTAAGAAAGATTTCATCATAAAGAGTCCCTCTTTCTCCATAAAGTCGGACAGCTGCTGGCCCCTACGGTTCTGCTACCCTATTCCAAATTTCCCTAACTTCAGCTCACCGCTTTCTCTTGTGCCTAGTTTTGCGTTGAAATCTCCCATCAACACTGTATAGTGAATTTTGGAGGAATGCATGGCTCTAGAAATATCCTCATACATTTCCTCCACCTCCTCATCGGGATGTGCTGAGGTTGGTGCGTAAACCTGTATGACCTTCAGCGAATACCATTTAGTAATTCTGAGTATCAGGTACAAGACCCTCGTCGACACACTCTCAATTTTTACAACGTTGTTGACGATAAATCCGATACCTCCTTGGGACAGATGGTCGCCCTCCCGGTGATAGAACAAGTTGCCGGACTCGAGGATTACCGTGTCCTCCCCCTCTCTTCGGACCTCGGATAATCCAATAATATGCCAGCGCAACTTGTCTACCTCTTCTTCCAACTCCAGTATCTTCTCGTCAGTCCTCATAGTGCGTGCGTTATATGTTGCCAGGTCGAGTCGTCGTAGGTGGCAACCGAACCTCCACCGGAGATGTTTAGCACCCCCTGCCCCGCCGTTACCATGGTCGCCACCGTAGCTAGGAATAGCGGGGCCGCTGGGGACTGGGGGCCGTTTGTTTGCGTCGTTGCTCATGGGGGGATATTTGCCATAGTTGCCACGCTTAGCGAGTGAGTTGGCAACCGCAGTTTTTTATTATATTATTGTTGTTATTAGGGAGATGCTGCTGCCTGTCTCGTGGGTGTCGTAGAAAAAAACTTTATGAAGTAAATATTGTTACGCGCTCCAATGCCTCAAATCGGCGCACTAGCGCCATCTAGTCTCGAACCGAAGAACTAAACTTCTTAAAGTTTAAAACTCGAACTCTCGGTACCTTGCGCGTGTTTACTTGAATATTCTGGATATTTTGCTAATTTATATAAGTAGGCGCTGCAAGATGCGATCGAAGTAGTGTCAATTTGGCGAAACAAGCGAAGCTTCGGAGCGGAATAAAGTGAATAAGTGTGTTTAATTATTAGTACTAATAGTGTGTTGTTTTTAACTTTAATTTGTGTAAAGTAAATTAAAGTGTTAATTTAGGTAATTTTATCGGCAATTTTTATTGTCACGAACCTCAAGCTCGTAACAATTGGTGTCAGAAGTGGGATAAAATCATGCCGATTTTACCTAAGGAGGAAACGGAGGGTGTCCGTACCCGAAGTCAACGCCAGCAAGAGACGGACCAACGAAGATTTGGTGGTGCAACGCCGCAGACGTCGGAGGGCCAGCCACCGGCTGCAGGCCCGTCGGTAGCTCCTACATCTGCAGCACCTGACTTAGGTGCTCTGATGGTGATGCTGCAGGAGCAGGCTCGCCGACAGGAGGAACAGGTCCGTCAGTTGAAAGAGCAGCTGCAGAGCGGACAGGAGGAACAGGCCCGCCGATTGGAAGAGCAGCTGCGGGGCGGACAAGAGGAGCAGGCCCGCCGACAGGAGGAACAGGCCCGTCGGTCGGAAGAGCAGATGCTCCTCATTAAGGACCTTCATGCTACCTTTGGGAAAGAGATAAAGGAGGTGAAGGATAAGGTTGCTCAACATGACAACCGCCTGCCGGTCAGCGTATACCCGTCCGTGGAGAGAGGGAGATGGAGTTGAAGCTAGGCAACGTGATCTACCTGCATAATGTCATCGTGGCTGATATAATGGACGACTGCATCCTAGGCCTAGACTTTATGAGGAATAATTGTTGTGAGATCGACGTTAAGCAAGGTGTTTTGAAATGTGGACAGGAGGAACTTTTTATGGAAGGTGCGTTACCAGGGAACGTGTACAGCATCAAGAAGATTGTTCTTCCGCCGAGATCGGAAACGATTGTTCCGGTTAGTCTTCCTCGAAACGCTGGGCAAGCTCACCGTTGTGTACTTGTGGAAAGGGTAAACAATGACCTTCCATGGAAAGTAGCTCGAACCTTGGTCAGGACCACTGACATCTCAGGAGTACGTGTGCTGAACCTTTGCGACCGGGAACAGATTATAGAAAAAGGCACACTGGTTGGTACTTGTGAGGAAGTGGATTGGTTACGTCAGTGCCAATATATATCGAGTGGGACCCCCAGCAAGGATTCAGAAACGAGAGTGACCACACTTTTGGAAGACTGTCGCAGTGTACTCTCCCCGAACGAATTGGTCAAGGCGAAGAAGTTGTTACTCAAGTACGCCGATGTATTCTCATCAAACGATGCTGACATAGGAAAGACTGGCTTAGTTCAACACAAAGTAAATACAGGAGAAGAATTGCCTATCCGTCAGCGGCCAAGACGATTGCCGGTAGCACGTGAAAAGGAAGTGGAAACCATGATTGAGGGAGTGGTGAAGGATGGTGTTATTGAACCTTCATCTAGTCCATGGTGTTCACCAGTGGTGCTGGTGAAGAAGAAGGATGGCAGCATGCGGTTTTGTGTTGAATACCGCCGTCTGAACGACGTTACGAAGAAGGACAGCTATCCCTTGCCAAGAATTGATGACACGCTGGACATTCTTACAGGAGTAAAGTGGTTTAGCACGCTGGATCTAAAAAGTGGCTACTGGCAAGTTGAAATTGACCCTAAGGACAAGGAGAAAGCTGCGTTCTCGACGGGAAAGGGTCTGTGGCAATTTAAAGTAATGCCGTTTGGGTTGTGCAATGCTCCGGCAACGTTTGAAAGGCTGATGGAACTTGTACTTACCGGGCTAATTGGCGATGCCTGTCTGGTCTACTTGGATGACATCATCATCATAGGCCGTACGTTTGAGGAACACCTTCAAAACCTGGAACGCGTGCTCATGAAGATTCAGAGTGCCAACCTCAAGTTGAGCCCGAAGAAATGTTCACTATTCCAACGGCAAGTTAACTTTTTGGGGTTTGTAGTATCGGAAGAAGGTATCCGCACAGATCCAGAGAAAATCGCCGCTGTCAAGGATTGGCCGGTTCCAAAAGACAAGACGCAGGTTAGAGCATTTTTGGGTTTGTGCTCCTACTACCGACGTTTTGTGAAGAACTTTGGAGATATAGCCAAACCTCTGCATAAGTTAACCGAGGAGAAGCGACATTTCTGCTGGGATGAAAGTTGTAATATCGCATTCCAGGAGCTCAAGGACCGTCTGTGCAAAACACCTATTTTGGGATACCCTGATGCAAGCAAAGAATTTATAGTTGACACAGACGCAAATGATATAGGACTTGGCGGTGTGTTGTCTCAACGGAATGGTGACCAAGAGGTCGTGATAGCGTACTTCAGCAAGTCGTTGTCAAAACCGGAAAGGAACTATTGTGTCACAAGACGCGAATTGCTAGCTGTGGTAAAGTCGTTGCAGCATTTTAGCAAATATCTTCTGGGGCGAAAATTTCACTTACGAACTGACCATGCTGCACTAAAATGGCTATTGCAGTTTAAAAATCCAGAAGGACAAGTTGCGAGGTGGATTGAACTACTGCAGGAATACGACTTTGAGATCGAACATCGCAGCGGGAAATCTCATGGCAACGCAGATGCATTATCACGAAGACCTTGTCCTGAAGATTGCAAACATTGTACTAGGCAAGAGAGTAAGGAAGTGGTATCCGTGAGGATGCTCAGGGCAGACCACCTCAGCAACGAGTGGAAGGACAGCTTTCAACGTGCACAGCAGGAAGATCCGAACATCAAGCCAATCCTGGAATGGATGAAGGCCAGTGCTCCCAAGCCTAAGTGGAGCGACGTCTCTGCAATGAGTTCAACCACTAAAAGCTATTGGGCCCAGTGGGACAGCTTGCTGCTTCAGGATGGAGTTCTGTGCCGTAAATGGGAAAATGTTCGGGGAGACAGCTGTCGTTTACAAATGGTTGTCCCTAAAACTAAAGTACCGGATGTTCTACAGCTGTACCATAATGATTATTCAGGAGGCCATCTGGGAGTTAAACGAACTCTACTGAAGATCCGAGAACGGTTTTACTGGGTCCACTGTCGAAACGATGTCGAGGACTGGTGTCGCAAATGTACAAGTTGTGCGGCTGTAAAGGGACCTCAGACTCGTAGTAGAGGTGCATTGAAGTTGTACAATGTTGGTGCACCATGGGAGAGAATAGCCATTGACGTGGCGGGGCCGTTTCCGGAGAGTGAAAGCGGTAACAGGTATTTCATGGTTGTGATGGATTACTTCACTAAGTGGCCAGAAGTCTTCGCCATTCCAAATCAAGAAGTTTCAACAGTTGCTGATAAGCTAGTTCATGAAGTTTTCTGTCGTTTTGGTGTACCTTTAGAGATTCACAGCGATCAAGGAAGGAATTTTGAGTCTCGAACATTCCAGGAAACATGCCGAGTTATGGGTACTCATAAAACAAGAACGACTTCTTATCACCCGCAATCTGATGGAATGGTAGAACGATTTAATCAGACATTGGAGAGGTACCTAGCAAAAGTTGTAGACAATCGGCAACGAGATTGGGAACATAAACGTTTTTGTTGTCATATCGAAGCGTGTTCAGAAAGTAAGAGTGAGACTTTGGAAGAAAATTACGGCTGCCTGCAGACCTGATCACCGGGATACCACCTGATGCTCCACGCAGTATAACCGATTATGCAAATGACTTGCGGAACAAAATGAATGACGTTTATGAGCACGTCAGACAATCGGGCCAGCAAATGTCTGAAAAGATGAAAACCCGGTATGACCGCAAAATGAACAACAAAGGGTTCGACGAAGGTTCACTTGTGTGGTTGCACAATCCAGTCCGCAGCAAAGGGAAATCTCCTAAGCTTTAAGCTAAATGGGACGGCCCGTACCGGATTGTGACCAGGATCAACGATGTAACCTACCGGATACAGAAAGGCGCAAGAGGGACTCCTAAGATCGTCCATGTGGATCGCCTAGCGCGTTATTATGGGACCGATAATGCTCGGGACGAGCATGTCTTAGGAGGGGGCAGTGTTACGCGCTCCAATGCTTCAAATCGGCGCACTAGCGCCATCTAGTCTCGAACCGAAGAACTAAACTTCTTGAAGTTTAAAACTCGAACTCTCGGTACCTTGCGCTTGTTTACTTGAACATTCTGGATATTTTGCTAATTTATATAAGTAGGCGCTGCAAGATGCGATCGAAGTAGTGTTGATTTGGCGAAACAAGCGAAGCTTCGGAGCGGAATAAAGTGAATAAGTGTGTTTAATTATTAGTGTTTTTAACTTTAATTTGTGTAAAGTAAATTAAATTGTTAATTTAGGTAATTTTATCGGCAATTTTTATTGTCACGAACCTCAAGCTCGTAACAATATAATAACTTTGACCTCTCAGTATAATTAGGAAAACAAAGTTAGTTTTAATAAAAAAAAGTGATGTATACCCTGTAAACACCAGGAACAAACACAAGCTAGTAATACCAGTTTCTCGACTAAACAGAGTCAGTAAATCATCCTTTTGGCAATGTATAAGCTATTACATTTATTTTTAAACGAAAAATCATAAAGCGAATACTGAAGACACTCACGGAAAGATATGGGGTAGTGGATATTCTCAACCGCCACTACACGGCACGATTTAATGTAAATTCAACTTTCGAAAACGGGGTAAAAACAGTAACTTCTCGATTTTTGAAAATTTTCAGTTTTCTTAGCGGGAAGTTAATAAAAGAAATTATATAGAACATTCAATGGGCGGATCGCTCCAGAAGCGATTTCTTCCAGACAACTGTTTTGCACAAAGGACTCTTATTTAAACGAATAGCAAATAGGGAATGTGTACTTAAATTAAACAATTAAGATAATTGATAGAATCAGGCGTTACTTTGCGGAAATCCATTATAATAAATAATTTATTACTTCGCAACCTTCCGCTAACTAATTACAATGATGTGTCTTACCTGGATTGAAGAGCAACTCCCGCCCTCGCTCAATTGCATGCACTAACTCCGTCACCACTAGTCCCAGCACCACTACTCCCAACAACACTACTCCCAACAACACTACTCCCGGCACCACTACTCCCAACACCACTACTCCCGGCACCACTACTTCTAACACCATTATTCCAGGTAAGAAACACCATCGACGACAATACGACACGTGTTTCACCTCTACACGAGGCATCCTCAGGTAATGTAGACTCTACGGCAGTAGTAGTGATGTTGGGAGTAGTGGTACTGGGACTAGTGGTGACGGAGTTAGTGCATGCAATTGAGGGAGGGCGGGAGGTGCTCTTCAATCCAGGTGAGATACATCATTGTAATTAGTTAGCGGAAGGTTGCATAGTAATAAATTATTTATTAAACAATTAAGTAAAAGGAAAAAATACACGTAAAATTTTTCAAATCTAGAACTCTTTTGAGAATTAACATTTTTAATTTTGTATGCAACCTACACATAAAACGTATAATTATATAAACTTCTTGAATTAATCTATCTAATTATAAAATCAATGTGTAATATTTTTTCCACAAAATAACTACGTTCTAAAAGATAATGAAAGAAAAGATAATGTAATCATTAAGTAACACAATGTACTCAACATTGATTTTATAAGTGATTTCATTAGTTACAGACGACACTTGCGAATGTAGACTTATCAATGTTGTTTAACACGTTCGCGTGAGCAACGTCTTACGACGTTAAGTTGATAGAATTATGAAATGGCGCAACATCATAGGACGGCCTCTAGATTGTCATATTTATTCCCGCGGAACGTCTTTGGACGTCTATTTTAAAGGCGATCTATAATCCTATGGCGCATCTAAGTGGCGCCGCAACACATTCAATTTTCGTAGCTTATACCGCCGCGTGACTTTAAAAAAAACGTCGTTCTAGTTTTGTACGCACACATGCAAAGGTCGCGCACAGACACGCGCAACGTCTTATGACGCCCTCCCTTGTACCGCTATCCGCACTGCCAGTTGGCCTGCGCGCAGTCAGATGACCTAACGTGTTTGATTTGTGAACGTCGTGCAACTTATCTGGATTGCCTAATATTTTGTCATAAAAGGTTAGTAAATATTATAACTTTCTTTATTAGGCTTATTTAGAATAAGCATTTGCATATTTGTGAGTAACAAACAACATCATAACTAGCAAGAATATGATATAATTTTGAAAGAAAATTTGCTAACGGTTATTCTGTGCTGTTTAGTATTAGCTTATTTTGAACAGTGAGAATATAGTAATAATCTTAAAATATATGGTGTTATGGTTTTAATCATAATGTAATATATATTTACTTTGCTATTTGCTTTAGTAAAGGTGTCATTTTGCATTGTTATAGATGAATAAGGAAGAAGAACGTATTATGAGACTTTTCGAAAAAGCGTCGACGGGAAGCTCGATACCAGATCCATTCAGTGTTAGTGATGATGGTCAGTATGGATCTGATGGAGACTATAATCCTTGTAATGATGAAGTGAGTAGTGACAGCAGCAACACTTCCGTAAATAGAACTTCAAGAAGAAGTAAGTTATGTAATCGTCCTTCTAATAGATCTCAAACTGTAAATACAGCTCCATTGCGTAATCGTACCTTAAGTTCGAGTTCGAGCTCATCATAATCTGATGTGGACAAAACCGAATCTTTACAGACTCATTATGATGAGTATCTAGATGTGACACTTACTGAAGATGTTCCACGTAGTCATGATGATTCTATTACTTCATGTGAATCTGTGCAATCGGAATCAATACTCCAGACTAATACTACCCAACCGGTCGAAGAGCAACAGGAGCCTGATTGTAGCTCAAATATAACAATGCAAGACCCAGAACCAGGACCAAACAATATATCGGAGAGGCATAACAGGCCCATTACACCACCTGCTACTGTAAATTGGGAACACACAACATTAGATATCCCACAATTCAATTTTGATTCTACATCAACAGGCGTCCAGTTTCATATTGATTAAAATACTTCGATTCTCGATGTATTCAGACAGTTATTTCCATCTCATATTGTTAGTCACCTTATCGAACATACAAATAAATATGGTGAGGCTCTATGCAATAAAAATATACCAATGACAAGACATAGTCGTAGATACGTTCAGGTTCAGGAAAGTTGACGAAGATGAATTTTTTAAATTTCTAGGACTGTATTTATTACAAGGACAAATATCTGTTCCTAAAAAACGAAAACTGTTTACCTATTCAGACATTCTGTATTATCATCCAATATTTCCGTATGTTATGTCACAAAGAAGATTCGAACAAATACTAAGATGTCTTTACGCTTCAGACTTAAATGCTAAAGGAAGTGCTAAGATCAGTAGTTTTATAGATAACATGTGTCAAATATTTCAAAATTTTTATAAACCTGAAAAAAGAACTTTCATTAGATGAATCTTTAGTGTTGTTTAGGGGAAGATTAAAGTTCAGACAGTACATGAAATGCAAAAAAGCACGATATGGAATAAAATTTTACGAGTTGACGACTGCAGAAGGATTTGTGCTCAATATAATTATGTATACTGGGAAGACTGATGATCCTTCTGATAAAGGAAAGAAAACTGAAAATCTCGTTCTTCGGCTAATGAGGCCGTATATGTTGAAAGGCCATCTTTTCATGGACAATTATTGTAATTCAGTACCCTTGTCTGGAGCAAACAGGAAAAATAATCCTAAAGTATGTAGTTGTTTCTAAAAAACTTAAAAAAGGACATCATGTTTGGGCGCGGAAAAATAAAGTGTACGTGTCCAAATGGGTCGACAAAAGACCTGTACACATGATTACCACCTTAAACCATCCTAAAATAATTAACGATCATAACAGATACGGTGAATCTAAATCTAAACCGCTGGAAGTCTCAATTTATAATAAATATATGTCAGGTATCGACCGTTCCGACCAAATGGTCTGATACTATTCATCTCCCAGTAAGACAGTGAGGTGGTACAAAAAGGTATTTTTTCATATACTAGACCTAGCAGTATGGAACAGCTTTTATATTTATAAAAATATCGTGAAGGTAATGCTAAGAGTTATGAATTTATAGATTTTCGTGAGGATTTAATATTTAAAATTTTAAAATTAGATCCAGGTCTAAAACCGGACAAATTATTAAAACATCATAGATATGATAATCGACAAAAAGTAAGAACCGAATCCGTACCATTCCCGAATAAGCAAGAAACATCTATTTCGGCTGGTCACTGGCCTGAATAGATACCTAAAAAAAATTTCCTCTAATAAGAGTATATTTTTAAAATGCAAGATGTGTACTAAAAATAAGACACGAAGAGAAAGTAGCTATAGGTGCAAAGGGTGCCCAGACAAGCCAGCTCTATGCCCTTCGTGTTTTGAAGAGTGGCATAATTAAACAGGTACACACCTGTAGCCTACATATTCTATACCTTCCTAATAATTAAATAATGTTTGTTAATTATTAATAAATAGGTACATAAACAATTAAGGCTGATTAAAAAGTAATAGAGATTTTGGTCTCGTACAATTATAAAGAATGATAAAGATTTTTGATTGTTGTGATTTTAATTAAGTTTAATTTTGTTTGTAAAGAAACTACCTACCTCAGTTTTTGATTAAACTTATATGCCAAGCCAGTTGTATCATTTTAATTTCCTAAATTTAAGTTGACGCCTATGAACGTTAGTATGGTATATTAGACCTGCGCGGTGGCGGCAACGTGTATAAACGTCGGACGTGAAGAAACGTTGCGCCGCATATCACAGTTCTAAGGCATACGTATTACGGCGGGACGTCTTTAGACGTTGCTTAACTTTGTATGGGTAAAAAGGTGCGCCTCAGTACAAACATTTAGAGATAAGGTTGCTCACGCGAACGTTTTAAGATATTCTTATTATAAAATTTGTAAAAGGTTGCCAAAGCACTAGTCCTTCCGGCGTTCTTACTAATCAGAGTTCACACTGGAGATACTGGTGCGCGATTTGGCGGCATGTCGTGCACTACGAGTATGTGCCATAAATATGGACATACCGAAACCCAAATATTTTATTATATATTTGATCCCGCTTAACGTTTGCGTAGAGACTGGCCGGTAAGGCTTCTTAAATGACAATAATAAGGTGTTATGTTGACAAAACTGAGAGATTTTTTTATTTAAGAGTTTGAGCCGGACAAATTACGGATGTTTCATCGAAGTTAAATGTGAATTAAAATATATAAGATCTTTTGAGTGCTTGATCATGCATGTATAAAAATAAATGCAATAATGCGGATGTTTTCCATCCCGTAGTTGAGGCATCACAAAATATTTCAATGTAATAACTGTCGTCTCTGATCTTGCGGATAGAGTTATCTACAATCTTCACAACCAGTGAAAACCACCTGTTGCAAATTCAATTTTTCAGACCATTCAGTCATAAAATTGAAGGGTCTGAGGTGCAAAGCAACAACCCAACAGGCTCCTCTAAGTTTTATAAATGTTGTTATTTATAAGATTCCACGTTGAATCCGAAAAATTTGTAATGTTAATGCGCTTTTTTCGATTCTGAAAACAAGCGAAGTTAACAGTTTAATTGTAACAATAACTCTTATTACTCTCGTATTAATTCCAACGTACGCGATATCAGTCGTACCGATATACAGTGGACATTCGTCTGTCCATGGTAGTTTAGTTACGGGTTTCATTATTTTGGTAAATAATTCCCCGTTAATAAAAATAACAATAGTTATTTCAAAAATATTTTATATTTTATTGATAATACGAGTATAAGTTCTTAAATAAAAGATAGACGAAATATCGTATCAATAACTACTCGTATTTATCGGTTATTCTCAACTTTTCCAGTTCTTTCTCTTCATCGACCTAACCCTCATAAGAACCGTGAACTGATGCAGCAGGCGTTGTCTTTTCGATTAATCTGTATTACCAGTTGTATGTTCTTGTGGAACTACGTGTTCCATATATATAAACAAACAATCATCAAGGCTTGCGAGCGCGATTGCCTGTTATAAATACGTCTGTTCTATCCCCTGTATGATGCGCTGTCGTTGAATTGGTTTGGTTTAGTCAAAAATGTACTTACTGAGTCAGTTCGTGTACGAAATCCTCTAGTGAGATGTACCTTTAGTCATCATGTAGATGTCATTTGACATTCATTATGATCCTGCATGAAGAAGCCAAACTCAGACAGATTGCCTATGATACCTATGACGGTAGTAATCTGCCGGCACGTGTGCCCACAGATTGAAGTAAGATGTAAATATGACCAGGCAGCAGCCACAAATAAAGCTTTCATACTTTATAACCCAAACAGCGGATTGGTGGATTTAAGGAATTCTGAGTAGAAGATTAAATTGACTTTAACATTATATGTGGTGAACAAATGACACCAGAAGATTGAATTCAACATTGAGTTGCTCCAGTTATCCACGACGTGGTGCGTAGTGACTGGTAGTATAATAACCCGTTTTTATGTCATTTCAAAGATCCGACGCCGGGAGTAAATAATTTTAAGTCCGATACGGATAGAAGGCTCCGAGGCCAGTGTCCCGGCATCGACCCGCAGCGTAGAGGGCCGCTGGCTAGAATCCCGCACGGAACTGGTACTTTACATGGCCCACAAGTAATTGTTCCGGGTCGGACGCTTGTTCTCGAGGAATTCATTCATGGTAAAGTGTCTCCACGATATAGGAGAAAATCCCACTGTGGGGGGCAATGTTATTAATAATAAATTAATAAAAATATTAAGGCCATTTAACAGTTACATACTGAATGTAATTTAAATGTCTTTTGCATTTCTTTAATATTATTATTTAAAATGGCTCGTCACTATATGTTGTTAGTAAAGAGTGAGTAATATTTTGCCGTTTGGTTTGGGTGTAAAACACGTTCGAGATGAATTTTTGGAAATTATTGCCACAATAAATAGTAAAATATTTATCGTATCATCAAACTTCAATCGCCGCAATAGAGAAAAAGTACAGGCTGGACTGTTGTTCCTTATGCTGATTACTAATGAATTGTGGGCTATAGAGCATTATGATGTGATCATTAGTAATAAGCTACCATTGTTTTATAAGCAAGGCCTGTTGTACTTTGCCTTATTTATAGATAGATATCGCGATGATCTCAAGGAGATCGTGGACGGTGCACCCACCCCCATTGGTGGAGTTGTGTCAATATATGGGTGGCTTGGCGCAACCTCCGAGGCCACGAAAGATTATTATCTTTCATGGCCTCGGTGGTTGGTTGAGGCATGCGTCCAGTTTTAGACCTCTAGTTTTAGCAGCCTCGAGTACTTTTATTTTGCCATTTGTTGTTTAAGCACCAACTTTTGTGCAGTTAGCTAGGATAAAGTATTAAGCACAGAGTACTTTTACGGCCGTTGTGTAAGCCTGATGTGGCAATATATTGCAGACGAATACTTATTTCGCAGATTACTTCTGAACCAAATTCTGTCACATAAAATAAATCCTTGCCTAGGATTTTAATATGTCCGCATCTATATATCTACGTGATAATTTCTTGGTAAGTATAGGTCCATTACGACCGTCCACTCAATGGGTTACTTAGAATTGCGTTTAAGCTCCTTTCGCGGTTTCTCATTGGGCATTTTTCATTCTTTCAATTTAAAAAAGTTTTTTCTTTCAAACTGGGTGATTCAAAATCTCATTACAGAAAACAAAGAAATAATTATGAATCCATGTTTAAACGAGTGTTCCGTTCAGTACTCAGTTCCTTCAAAATGAAAGAAACTTACTTTATTTTTCACTATCGGATATTATTTTATATATGTGTGTTAAGTTTCTTTGAAAATAACAAATCTAATTATAAACAGTACTATATGTTACGGTTCCTATAAGCAGAACGTGGCCAACTTCTTTTGGTTTTATTTTAAATTTTCCTTGAAGAAAGGACAAACCCGTTTTATTTAATTGATTTATTTCCTACGTTCCAGTTGATCGAAGTCCAGAGGCGGATCACTT